GACTTCAACACAGTAAATCAAGTGTGGAACAATTATTGTATTATATAATATTAACAGAGCTTTATCATTAAATAAGAACTTTACTTCGTACTGCAATGGATTTGGCTATTTTTGTTCTTAAGTAATTTATGTGAGATTTCCATGTCAGCTTTTCATCATTAATGACATCCATAAACTTCACCTGACTGACTCTACAGATCTCAACACCATCAACTCTTAATGGAACACAGTTTTTGTCCAAAACATGAATGGWGGCTGATCATACGCATCAATGAATTTATCATTTCAGTGTTTATTTTAGGGTGTTGACTTGAAGAAAAACTGAAAGTATGTTTAGTGGACATATAAGTGATTATTTATACAAACTAAACAGCTTTTCAATAGAAAACAAGACAGAAAAAACAAAGACTCTCCAGTGATCCAGCAGGATGTTAGTAGATCATGTGTTGCTGCCACCTTGTGTTCCTGTGGCTGTAAAACGTTGTCAGCAGCCTCGTGTGAGCTGATTGGTTAAAGGCCACATGACGTCACCACGCACCGTTTAGAATCACGGAAGTGGCGGGATTGCTGTCAGGCTTCAAATTCAAAAACAGGTCAGTGTTTATTTTCTCAAAGTGCGTTTCTTTTTAACTGTACGGAGTAATGAACGTGTTTAAACGGAACCTCGTTAGCTACAGAAGCTAACATTAGCCCAGTTAGCACAAAACGAGGCTCTGCTGTTTGACTCGGTCATGTTTCACCATGTTCTCTACAAAATAAAACAAATCCACAACTTGAATAATCCGTGTGTTTTTCTCCAGTTTTATTATCTGCTGCTGCTAAGAGAACCAATCAGCTCAAATTAACGGATTGTTTTCAACGGAGTTGGAGGAAACAGAGTGAAAAGCATGCAGCAGGTGAGGCTTGTGTTTGAGGAGGAGGGGGGTCCAGGTGGGGTCCAGGTGGGTCAGCTTTCAGCCACACTGTGGTCTCAGCTGTCATATAAGCAGGCTTTAAGACAGAAGAGCAGCAGCTGAACTGTTCAGGAACATGGGGACCAGGACAGGACATTTGACACACTTTAAAAACCAAACCTATGTTTACCTGTGGACCTGCCAGCAGTTCCAGGTGAAGCCAACACAAAGAAAGGGTCTGCGTGTGTTCGCTGTAACTTCCTGTCTGTTTCTTCTTGCAGCTGGAGCAGCTGGAGTGGGACGATGTGAACAAACTCCTGCAGCATCACGGCTTTAAGSCCGTGTTTTTTGCGGACCCTGTGGAAAACAGGAGCCTGACAGGTGAGGAAACAGGTCCGATTTATCAGSCGGATTTTAACATCGCACTGCAGCTGTGCTCTGCAGTTAGCATGGAACCTATAGCTTCTTTTAGCTTTTAGCTACTGTTCAACCTGTGGTGCTTTTGCTGTTCAGCTGTCTCTTTGCTGCTTTCAGCTGCAGTCTGGCYTTTAGCTATTTTTACTGTTTAATCAGGTTTTTGCTTTGAGCTTTGCTACATTTACTTAGCATGTTTCCTGCATTTAGCTAGGCTTTTGCTGCTTTTGGATTTGTGCCCACCTTTTGCTTCTTTCAACATTTAACTGATATTTAATTGTTTCTTTTGGGTTTTAGGCAGTTTTTTTCTGCTTCTAAGTTTTGATATTTTTGGTGTTTAGCTGCTTTGTCTGCTTTTCAGCTAGCCTTTAGCGATTATTTGACAGTATTTATTCATTTAATTTAAAAACAAGCAAATTCACATACAAAAAAATACATATCAAATAAAAATGAAAGGTAGTAGAAAGAAGAAAAAATCTTATATCTGCCCCAATTGAAAAATATATACTGTATATTAACAAACACCATTATGTCATCTTAGCAAGATTTGATACAAGGTCAATGGAAAACACAAAGATAAACACAAGTGATATCTAAGAATGATTATTGTTGTTAGCAGATCTTGTTCTGACTTTAATCATTCTATCTGCAGATGAACAGCATGTCATGAAAACCTAGGTCATTAAAGGATGTTATGAATTACTTGTTTAAACATAAAAGTATTAGTTCCATTACAC